AGAAGAATTTCTTGCTATGTGAGCCATGTAGCAAATCTTTGCCTTTCTCTGCTGTACATAAAGCTTTTACCAAAATGCTGATGCAATCAAATTCTCAATGTCATTCACTCCTATCAACCAACATGTGCTATAAATGTTATCTAATTAACATTTATATTCAAAGACAATGTGGTGAAAAATAAAGAATTATGGTCCACAATAAATAGTACTGAATCCCATCAAAGTGAATGACTTGCTAAAAGGAAAGGTTGGAAGACTGAGTTGATATTATTTTTGATTCAGATCTATGATGAGAAGTCTGTGTGTCATTGACCAAAAGACTGAATCTCCAAGGTCTTATTTATAAGCCTTAAAATGGGAATAGTTTTATTTTAGGAGATGGTAATTGGGAGAATCCTAAACAATATTATATGTGTGAAAATTCCCTTTAAATTGTCAGAATCCCCATTAAGATGATTGTTAAAACATTTATATCTGCATCTTGACAAGATTTAATTTTTATTTTTTAAAAAGTATGAGTTGAGTACCTGGAAATAAATGAATTGATTGATGTGTACCACATCTAATAATATCTTTATAAAGTTCTATTTTTTTTCTAAGCATTGCCATTGGTGATGTGGAAATTTGTTTCAGAGAGATACTGAGAACATGTCCACTAAATATTTTTCCTCACCTGTGTGTGAATATTATGGTGACTCCAAGCTTCTGTGCAGTGAATAATTTACTTATTTCTTCATTGCATTGGCTGCTTTTGTTGGTGTGTGACTAATTATCTGACAAGAAGCAACTTAAGGGAGGTGGGGCTTATTTTGAGTTACAATTTGAGAGAATAGTGTTCATCTTGGAGGAGAGGGTGTGAGGATCCCTGAATCTCAGTAGAACAGGTTGCATAGAACAGACAGGAAATAAGGGCCAGGCACAAAATCACAACAGCTCAGCTAACCCACAGTTCTCTACTTCTTTCAGGAACGTTCTACCTCTGCTTCCCACAGAATTCTAAACCAGTGCCACAAGTGATGGACAAGGGTTCAAACACATAGTCCTATGAAAGACCTTTCTCATTCAAACCACATTTCCTACCATGGTCCTACAATGAGACAGTCCCTTGGCTGTCTCATAATTCAAAATGCATTTATTGCAACTCAAACAGTTCCCATAGATTTCAATAGTCCATACACTACTCAATAGTCGAAAGTCTAAAATTCCTTCATAGCATTAAGGCAATCTGTTAGCAGAAACTCTGTAAGATAAAAACCTAGTTACCACTTCTGATATGGGATGGAGTAAATATTTCCACACTAAAAGGGAGAAATGGCAGCAGAGAAAGGAAAGAGCAGAACAAAGCAAGAATGAAACCCAGTAGGGAATAAAAAATCCCTGCAACTCAGTCTCCAGCATCTGGGCCTCATAATGGAATCAGTTAAGTTCTGATACCTTAGGGTAGCCTCAACCCTTGATGTCTGTCCTCCATAGTTTATATGACCACTCTCTTGACTCAGCTACATCCTATGTCTAGAGCCTTCTTCAGAAAGTGTCCCATAGTACTGGCATTTCCAACAGCGTGAGGTCTTCCTTGCTACATATGGTTCAGCTTCATGTAATGGCCTGTTAGTTATTTCATATATGGAATTCCATTCCGACACACAATTTCTTGGTCTCAGAAGTTGTTTTGAGCCTTGGGGGCAAGCCTCCATGACTCTCTAAGTCTGTCTTTTATGCCTACAAGGCTAGTGGCATGTAGACAATGCCACCAGGATCTACTCCAAATCAAGACAAATTATAGGCCCTATCGGGCCACATATGCAGTGTCCTCAGTGTTCTTTTGAGCTTCCCCATAGGGAAATGTTTGAAAGGCAAGGCTTTTTGAGATTAAAACTGTTGTGACACTCTCACTTTAGTTTTTCTTCTTTAAAATGAATTTGCATTCCTATAAATTACAACCTACCATGGATGGGGTCTTGTTGCCAAGGAATAAATCATCTCAATGCTCACCTTCTCATTTCTAATTTGTGGTGGTAATATCTTTTCCAATTACAGTTTTTTAGTACCTTCATCCATCAAATACAGGCTACATTAGGTATCCTTTTCTTTTGAAACTATATGTTTTCATATAGATCTATAACATTTGTTGTTATTTCTTATAACCTGGGCAAGAGAAGCGATCAGCAAGCATGTCACAACTAAAATGCTACCTTGTCTTGACTTTTCCTCTACTAAGTAAATTCATTACTTTTGAATCCAGACTTACTCAAGTTCTCACGACAGAATGCAGCCAGATTCTTTGTACAAATGAAGCATGAATAACCTCCAGTCCAGTTCGTAAAGAGTAATTTCCCATTAGAAACCTTGTGAAATAGTCTTCCATGGCCCACATTCCATTGGGTATTCTAGTCCTCCAAACTCCTAAGACAGTTCCCCATTAAGCTCTGTCATAATACTCTAAAAATTCCTACTTCTCATCTTCAAACTCTCATGCAACTTTATAGCAGACTAGTTCCAAAGCTCAATACTTTCATAGGTGAATCAGAATGGCCCCACTTTTCTGTATGAATTTTCTGTACTGGTTACTTTTCTAATTGCTATGATCAATATCTGACAGGAAGCCATTTGAGGGTTGAAGAGTTATTTTGGCTCATAGTATGAGGTGCTACAGTTAACCATGTGGATTCAGGCTGTAAAACCTAAGCACCCTCAAGTATCCCAAAGACATTAACCTTTTCTTTGGACAAAGTTCTATTTCTTAAAGAATCCAAATTCTTTCAAAACCATGTCTCCAAGTGTTCAAACACAGGAGTCAGTGGGGTCATATTGTGTGACCACAATAGACGATCCACAGTCTGTAAGGTCAAGATATCTTTATTGAGATAAATAAACCAGCCAAACGCAAGCCAGAGTGTGCCCAGGGCAGTCGAGCAACGAGGCCAGGGAAAAGGGCTCCCATGTGCTTTGCCGCCCGCCCCTTAAGAACCAATCCCTAGTCATTCTGACCTCACCTTGGCCATGCCTTGACAGGCATGGTCAGGCACACGTGTGTGGCTTACTGTCCCCTACAATTCCCCTTTTAGTCTAAAAGAGGATTAAAACTTAACAGTGTAAGTATCCAAAATTAACAATCATAAAGGTGAAATACAAGAAATCTGCTATTGCATATTATAACCATGTCTATTTCAGCTAAACCCTAAAGTCATCTGAAAGAGGTGTCCAAACCTGAACACCTCCTTCCAATCCCAACCCTAAACAATAGGAACGTCATTCCTAACTAGGCTTACACTATCCTAACAGACAATAATGGGGAGCGGGGGCGTAGCATCCTCCAAGTTACTTCCTGCTGAAATAGGACAATGGTAGCCTCGTGGGGTCCCATGGGAAGAAAATGTTAGTATAGTGAAAGTCTCTAATGGATTAGATCCAGTCCATGTTAGATGGGATTTGCTTGATTGAAGATCGAGGTTGAAATCTTCAACTTAAGTGAACATTTTGAGGTCGACAATTTCCCAAGTTGTCATCAACAAATTCTCTGAGATTTAGTCTTTCTTAGTTGTGGAGAGCAAGATTCATTTTTATTTTCCATTTGTTTGTAAGAATATCCTAGTCAAAGGAGGTATTCATATTTAATGTGAAACTTCTGACTTTACTACAAGGGCAGAGTAAGGTAATTCCTATTGTGAGATTTTTTTGCTTGATGTAATTATTCTGAGTTGTAAGCAATGGTGATTATCAGATCTAATTTTAAATATACTTGACATATAGGACCTGTGCTAGAATGACAGGTTTCCTGACAAAAAAGTTCTGTTGAAAGACCCCTGCCCCTTAGCCCTTTCTTTCTCAAGTTTGCCTCCTCCTCCGGTCGGCGGCTTCCCTGATCCCTACCCCCCCGCCCGCCTCCACTTCCCCCGCTGCCCCTTAGCCCGCCCGGCCCGAGAACGCACATCAGCCAGACCTTGAGAATATGCTGATCTGGAATGGCTCTGTGTCTCATTTGAACCATCCAATAGAAATGATTCTGTATTTCGCCTCATTTGAAAGACTCTGTGTTTCACCTCATTTGAATAACTCTGTACTGCGCCTCATTTGAATAACCCTGTATAGCGCCTCATTTACATTGACCAATGGGAATAGCTCTGTACAATGCCTCATTAGAATTATCCAATAGAATCCCTGCTCCTAGCTTGTGCCTTTTTCCCTATATAAGGACCCCTTTCCCTTGGCTCGGGGCGCTTAGCCACACAGAAGCTAAGTCGCCCGGGTACCCGTATCTCCAATAAAGCCTCTTGCGGTTTTGCATCCAAGTTCGTGGTCTCGCTGATTCCTGGGTGCGGGTCTCCCTCTACGAAAGTACCTCTTCGGGGGTCTTTCACTGTCACACATTTAAAATATAAAATGTTAGCATCTATGTTTCCATCTTAAAATTTATCTCATAGTAAAAATTATGCACATTAGTTTAATTAAAATTTGATATATTGTCATTCAAAATCCGTTATGTTTGATATTTTACATTTGTGTCTTTGTAACAATAGTATATTATTAGAAACACAGTATTGTTGGGGAAGGAGATTTAGTTTATATAACAACATTTTATATAACATTTCTATTTATTTGGAGGTTATATAAAGTATTAAATTTCTACACTATAATAAGTTCAAGTGGTCATTAACTTGAGAATCCATAATTTTGCACAACTTCTCAATTTTCTATTGTGAAATAGCTTCATTTTTTTCTTTTTCAGTTATGGTTACATATAAGAAAACCCTTTCACCCAAGTTCTTGGAACCCAGCCCATTACAATTAAGCTACAATCTGCTATGGTATAAACGAGAGCAAAGGACTCAGTATTTTACTTTAATCAGTATGTTGGAACAAAGTCCACTGGGAGGAAAGATTAAATCTTGTCCCTGGTTGGTCTGTTTTGGATCCAGGACTCACATGTGTATTAGCAGACTTCATTATATAAGCTTCATGTGGTAAGCACGCATTCATGTCAGTAAGAAGAGAGGGCAGCTATGGTTCTAGGTGTGTTTCTGGGGCTTGTTCTCGCATGTCTGCTTCTCCTTTCACTATGGAGGCAGAACTCTCAGAGAAGAAAGCTTCCTCCTGGCCCCACTCCTCTCCCAATCATTGGAAATATTCTTCAGGTGGATCTTAAGAACATCAGCAAATCACTGAGGGATGTAAGTACATGTTTGGTTTTCTGAAAGGGAAGCAAATGGACCATTGCCTAAGTGAAATATATGGCTAGGTATTCCCTGTGTAATACACAATTTTACATTTATCTCCTAAGCTTGAGCTACCAGCTGCATTTCCATTATATAGTTGTCAAAAATCATAGACTGAGGTAATGTAATGTGGCTAGTTAAATATTAGAGGGTGTTTTAGTAGAATAAAATCAGTGCGGCATTAGTTGTAAATGTTTTTTCCCCTTGTTAAAATCTTTGACTGCTAGCTGAAGGTAAAACAAGAGAAGTAATTAGACAGAGATTTTCTTCAAATATCTTAGACATGGATTGTATGTAGAATGGGCAAACAAATAGAACTTCTGTGACAAATTTAAACTCTGTTCAATGTCCAGGAAAGTTATGGGTATGGCCAACATAAATGACAGGAATAACTAGTCAGCCAGGACTCAGTAGTTGCTATTAGAATTCTTTTGAGTCTGAATACACCTTTGTTCTGAGGATAAGAATGTGGCATGATGTTAGAACTTGTTTCTGGGAAATGATGCACCCTCTGGAGAGTTTTTTTGGTAATGTTTTCAGAAAGCAAAGCAGCTTGGATGATGAACACATTTTAACATCACTTGAAAAATACAAAGTATTCTAGCTAATGCTGGGGATCGTAATTCAGGACCTCTCTGAAAAGGGCTTGTAGGTTATGCTGAAGCAGTCCCCTGAGCATTGATTTCAAGCTGAGCATCAGCAGATGATAAATTAATTGCTCAAGTATGAAACAGAATAGATAAGGGTTTGAAACTGTGATTTCTGCAGTCTTAAATTTGGGAGACTGGAAGATAAATTGTGATATTTCTGCTTTTTTATTGTAATATGGGATACATGTAAATGCTAAATATGTAGATTTAAGTTAACTGAAACCTGTTTACCAATTGGGTGGGCAATTATAGGCCATTTATAAATGAAAGTTATTACTATTATTCAAATACTTATGAATAAAATTAAAATATTGTTGTACATGTGGTAGAAAATATAAAATTATAGTGATAATATCTGTAACAATTGAGCATATTGCTGTGGTCATGGCACATGCCTTTGATTCCAATACTTGGGAGGCAGAGGCAGGTGGATCTCTGAGTTTGAGACCATCTTGGTCTATAGAGTGAGCTACTGGAGAGCCAGGGATGTTCAGAGGAACTATATCTCAAAAAACAAAACAAAACAAAACAAAACAATTGAGCATATTGTATAGAAAAAACACTGACATCTCTCTCTCTCTTTTTCCTCTGAAGAAGAGACTGCATTTAATTTTTCATTGGGATTTAAATTACTTCCTATTTACATAGGACATGTATTTGTATTCTTTTTTAAAAAAGATTTATTTATTACATATACAGTGTTCTGTCTGCATGTATGTCTGCATGCCAGAAGAGGTAGCCAGCTCTCCTTACAGATGGTTGTGAGCCACCATGTGGTTGCTGGGAATTGAACTTAGGACCTCTGGAAGAACAGCCAGAGCTCTTAGCCTCTGATCCATCTCTCCAGTCCCCCACAAATATATTCTTGAGTGACAGAGACCAGTTTTCTAGCTGTATATATGTATAGGAAGTTCAAAAGCAGGCAAGACAAAGTGATGATGTCAAAAGCTAGTATTGTTTAGGGGTTACCTTGCTGGGGCAGTGGATGGCAACTGACCAGAGCACCATGCAACATTCCAAGATGCTACTCAAGAGTCTTTTGCTTGAGCTAAGTGTGATGGAGCACACCTGTAATCCCAAAGCTCAGAAAGTGGAGCCAGGAGAGTCAGGAGTTCAAGGCCAGCCTCAATATTTGTATTCTTCTTAAAGGCAAATATGGGCTTACATTCTACAAGATCCATAATTATTAATCATATAGGTTTCTTTTAAAAAAATGCTACTCTTCTCTCATGCAATACATCCTGACCACAGTTTCTCATCCCTCCACATCTCCCAGTTCCTTGCTACCTTCCCTCTTCCCCAGATCCACTTCACCTTCATTTGTCTTCAGAAAAGAGAAGGCATCCCACAGACAACAACCAAACATGTCAAAACAAGATACAGTAAGACAAGGTGAGAGGTCTGATATTCTGGCCGGACAAGGCAACTCAATAGGAGGAAAAGAGGTCCAAGGGCAGGCAAATGAGTCAGATATACACCTACTACCACCTTTAGAAGTCCCACAAAACGGCAAGCAAACAACCATAACATAGATGGAAGAACTGGTGTTGACCCATGCAGTCCACATGCTGTAGCAACCTTTCTCTGTACTGCCAGTTCCTAAATCATGACACAAAGACTCATTGTTAACTATGAAACATTGGTCTTAGCTTAGACCTGTTTCTAACTAGCCTTTATAACTTAAATTAGCTCATGTCTATTAATCCACATGCTGTCATGTAGCTTGTGGCTTTTAACTCTACTCCTGTATGTTCTGCTTCCTCTGTGTCTGGCTAATGGCTCCCTCTTTCTTCTTCCTAGAGCTCTCTCTGTCTCAAAGTTCTGCCTATACCACCTGCCTAGCTACGTCTGTTTAGCTTTTTATTAAGTCAATTACAGTGACTTATGCTTACACAGTGTAATAAAATATCTCCCAACACTTCCCTTGTTCTGTCTAAATAAAAAGGAAAGGTTTTTTAACTCTAACATAGTAAAGCTACATATGATTAAGAACAATTATCAGGTAAGAATTACATTTACAATGTTCATCTCATTTATATTTGGCAAATTCAGAGAAAATACTCCATTTTCTATCTTCTCTTGATGAGTCCAAAATTTTGTACCTAATTTACTTTCTATCATGACTAAGTAAAACTGAAATATAACTATCTAGTCTTCAACCCCATCAGAGACCCAAGAAGGATTAATATTATCTGAGTAAACAGAAAGTGCAGAGCAAGAAACTTCAATACTATAAGAAATGATAGAAGCAGCTGGCTGCTTAGACAGTCACCAAAGGTTACTCTGCAATGTTTCAACATCCATCTTTTGCCCAATGCCAAGAATATTTGACAGACTTTTCTGTGAAGCAGGAATTTTAAAGGACTGGCCTACCTTGTCTTGGAAAAGTTCAGCAGTCACATTTTGTGTCCTGCTTTTCCAGTTTGGACAGCATACTGTCAGCAGTCAAGGCAAGGGCAGTTTCTTTGCCCAGTGGCTAACTTTGCTACATTGAAAGCAAACTCCATGTGGAGGTTCTTCAATGCCTATTATCCTTTTTGTGAAGCAGATTAGTGCTGCCAGGAGCAGATGTGTCTCACTGCCATGAAAAGCCTTATGTTATTAAAACATTTTACATGCAAAATTCTGTTGGTTTTTGAAGTGTTTGAAGGTCACCTATCTATATAAAATATATCTCTGTATGACCTTGAAAACATACCTGACTACAAGTTTGATTGTTATAGATGATTCATTACTTACCAGTATTTTTTAATTATCCTAAATAGTTGTCAAGGACTAGAAATTTACATTGCATTGTTAATTGAGGCAAACATGTATAATACCTTAAACAAGAGTGGAAATTTATGTACAATATAACAAAATAGCTTTAAATTTGTATCAACATACAAAAATTCATAGAAACTTAAAATATTTGGGAGTAGTCATTAATCAAAGTAGACTCAACAGTCCACCCTTGATCCCATCATTTCTATACTATATCTTCCCCTTTCCCTTCAGAAAGAGGACCCTGAATCTAATCTCCTTTGCTCAGCTTTTTTCTTGACCATTACCACTAACAATTTGTAACCAACCTCCTTAAACAATGACAAACATCCATAAACCCAATGAATGAAAAATAATCATTTACCCTACTACTGGGAATGTGGGCATCATGTTCTCTGGATTGCTTCCTGTTGTCTAGGAGTGATGGCATCTTTAGGGGACCCTGAAAAATTGGGATAATGGTCCAGTCCTGGGAGAGATAGCTGCATCATTTGTTGTCCTGTCACTGTGTAATGGGAAAGTGCAGGGTTTATTAGAAGTCCTGGCTTCTGTATGGCATAGGGACAAGGTATGTTCATTGTATGTAGCCTGACTATTTATATCAGCATAACTATTTACATCACTAAGTATTTGGTATTGGGAAGTCTTAAATCCTCTACTCTTACCTTGTTGTTAAACAGTCCTAGCTTCTTCTCTCAAATAGATTTTTCATTGTAATTGAGGAGCACATTCAAATACTGCTGATTGATTCCAGTCATTTGGAGTAATTATATTCCTAGGAGACCATGTATTTGACATCTGTCTCACATATGCTGAATGCATACCGTAAGAAACTATTGATTCCTTGATATTTTAAAAATCTTTCATATTGACAGTCTGCATATCCTATGGGGCAATTGTTATTTGCTGGCCTTTCATAAATAATAACAGGATAAATTATGGCAGGTGAGCTAACAACCTAGGCCTCTTATCTCTAATTCTATGAAGTAATGGTGAAGTCGACTCTCCTCTAACTTCCTTCATCTGTGTCTGAATATTCTTTCTATAAATCTTAATAAGTTCTTCTAAGGCTTGGAATCTATTAGTAGTTGCCTTTTGTAAGGCCGTCTTGTCTTTCTTAGTGACTATCTGTATGGCAAAAAAATCACTTACCCTTTTTTTTCTAAATAAGAAGGTCTTTTTAATGACAAACATAGGAGAATTACAAAGATTGGCCAATTCTTCAGTATGTTGAGCACCTGGCTGCTCCTGTACCAGTTGTTCTAGTGCCTATAAATTTTCTGATGTCAAAGGCCACTGTTCCACCCAGTTTTGTCAGTTAACTATTTCAAAGGTTGGGCTGTTGGTACCTGAGAAAGATCACCAGCTGCTGTGCCCTGGTTATGTACAATCTGAACAATCTGTGACTGTCCTTGAAAGTATCTTTCAATATTTCTCTCAGAAGTATTCTTTATTTACAGTTTGTTTCTGAGATTGGAGGGATGTTAATCTGTGTTTTCATTGCTGCAACAAATCATATCCCCATAAATTCATTGCTATGTT